CCTCTGTTCCAAGAAGAAAGGCTATTTTTTCCTCTGCACTAGGTTTCTTCTACCCCTGAGCAAGGACTTGCAGATATGTTTGCATCAGAGAATGGCTTCAGGGAATTGGGATGGGGAGAAGGGGACTAGTTGTACAGTCTATGAGTAAATGTTTTGCTCCAAGGAAGCAAAAACCAAAGACAAAGAGTAAACAGTACCTTCTATAGGATCAGATGTTACAATCATGTTCACTGATTGGCAGCTTTTCCCATCTCATTTAATCGGGTTTTCCTTTAATGACTTTAAAGACTTTACTGTTCTGCTTGTTTTTCCAGACCAAAAAAAAAAAAAAAAGTACACATCTGCTCCTTTACACATTGGGTATTTCACAGAATCCAGACCACATGGGTTTTCTCAACTTTTCAAGGTCTGAGGACCATCTTTAAAGTTAAAAAGACCCTAAGATGATACTTATTATTGCATGATTAGTAACAAATCAAACAATAAAATGAAACCACAAAAATCTATCGAGTTCCCACTTTGTGCAACACATTAGAGATACAAAGTAAAACAAACAATCCCTACCCTCAAGGAATTTAAAATGTACTAGAAGGATTCACTATGTACACAATAATATAAAGTAATCTAAACAAAGGTAGGATCAGGAAAGTTCTTCCATGGTGGGTAGCACCTAAACTTTGAAGGAATCTTGGGATTCTAAGAGGTGGAAATGAGGAGAAAATGCATTTTGCAAGGAAAAAGATGTAATGACTCATGAAATGTCCAGGGAATAACCAGCAGGCCAATTTCACTGGACAGAGAGTACATGCAAAAAACTATCAACTGGTTGAGAAAAGACATGGCTGGGATACGAGCTCCTTTCAGTACATCTCTGCCCACACGAGTTCCCGTGGGAATTCAGACAATTTTAAACTGAGTAACAATGTCTTTTATTTCTCCTTTTTTGAGGGCATTGGCTCTCTCCTCATTCCCCAAACCACTTGTCAAAGACTGCATCCAGTGGCTTCCAAAATATATATAAAAAAATAAGAGGAAGGATTTTCTTATGAACTGGAAAAGCTTCAAAGATGTCATCACTAATCATCTAAGGACCAACTTAGTGAACCTTTGGAATGAATCAACATAAAGTTGGTCACTAAAGAAATCTGGTCACAGCAACTCATGAAGATGGTCAACAGTATGTGCACAGAGGGCAATTTGCTTTGGTGGAAGATTTACAAAGTTGATGAAAGCATAAATATTTGAAGTATGGAGATGAGCTGACATCTTATGATTACGCGAAAGTGAAGGCCACCAACTACCTATTTGACTCAAACTAAATTACCCTGTAGGAGGGAAAGGGAATAAGCATTGATAAAGCTCCTACTATGTGTCAGACACTATTCTAAGCACTTTTTACAAATATCTCATTTTGATCCTCACAGAGGCAAAAGAGGCTAAGTGACTTGCCCGGGGGCACACAGCTAGCAAGAGTCTGAGGCAGGATTTGAAATCAGATCTTCCTGACTCCAGACCCAAGCTCTCTATTATGTAATCACCAGCTGCCTTCAGATCGAAATGTCTATAGGACATTTGGGCTAAATATCCTGTAAGCATTTCATTCTTACCATGTCTTAAAAACAGAACTGATTATTTTCCTTCCCAAGCTCTCCCCTCTTCCCAGATTCCCTGTTACTATTTAGGGGCTCCACCATCCTCCCAGACACCTCAGCTTATAACCTCAGTGTTATCCTTGACTCTTCATTTGCATATATTTGCATATATCCTGTCTGTTGCCAAGTCTTGTCCTTTACCTTTATAACATCGTTCATATGCATCCTCTGCTCTCCACTTAACCTGGGGTCATAGATTCATGACTTCAAGAGTCTTTGAACTTAGATGGGAAATAAAATTATATTTTTATTTGTACTAACCAATAAGTGAAATTTATTTTTTTCTTTTAATTACTTGAATATATTCTGGGAAGGGTTCTATTGATTTCACCAGACTGCCAAAGGGGGTCGATGGCACCAACTATGTTAAGAACCCCTTGCTAAGGTAAGGGATCATTGGAGGCCTTTAAGCAGATGCTGAAGGACACTTTGGGGGTGGAGGGTGGGAGGGTTCTAAAATAAATTCTTGGTCAGGTATAGGTATGACTAAATAGCCACTGAGGTTTTTTCCAGCAATTAGATTTCATGATTCTAAGAGAAGTTTAACCAACATAAAACAGTGGCCACAAGGAAGAGTACAAAAGAGCATAGAAACTAACTGAGCCAGTAAAAACATGACCTTTTTTGTCAAACAGAGAAGTATGGGAGTCAAACATAAAACTGGCTAAGAGTACAAACTTATTTTTATTTAACTATTAAGAAGGATAAAGATTTAGGCAGTTTTCTGTTTTTGTTTTTTTGTTTTGTTTTGTTTTAGCTCCACAGAATTGCAAATGGCAATTGTGGGGAAGTTGTGGGGAAAATAAACCTGCAGAGAGCTTGGCATGTATCCCAAGGTACTTTCCTTCTCACCTCCAAACATCACCCTAGAATAGGCCCTAAGATAAGACAAGAATTAAGGACAAAGCAGGTGTGAGATGGAGCAGTTATGGAGAGCCCTTTAATTTAACAGGAAAAGAGAGAAGGAAGTATCAAGTGGGACAGGGGAGAAGACTTCTTGTGACTGCTATAGACTAGACGTCCGACTCGGTCAATAACTCTTGGGTAATCCAAGAAATGGTGACATACAATGAAGACTAGAATGGGAGGTAGAATGAGGTGCTTGCATAAGTCACTTAGTGCCTACTGCTTAATTTTCTTATCTGTATGAAGAGATTTCATAGGATTCTTCTAACTACCATTCCAAGAAACTTAATAATATGAGTCATCAAAAATATTGTCAAAAGCTCCTCATGTCTAAAATGAGATGAACATAAACTTTATTCTGTCATCTGTGATTCAAAGTATAATCATTGTTTCAAACAGAGTGATTCAGATACATAGAAGAGGGCAGTGTGGTGCAGTGGAGAGAGCTGCCCTCAGAGTTAAGAAAGCCTGGCCTCAAATCCTGCCTCTTAAATATATTGGCTATGATGCTTTGAGTAAATTGTTTAACCTCTTGATGACTCAAACTACTCTTTAAGACTATAAATTGTAAAGGTAATATTAATCTGCATGAGTTGAGAAAGTTCTTCACTATAGGAATGAAATCAAAGGTTAAGTAAACAAAACAAAAACTGTGCTGACATACTATATGAAAAAAATTACAAAGCATTAATTACAGCAATAAAAATAGACCTAAATAATTGGAGAAATATTAATTCCTCATATAGGCTGAGTCAATGAAATAAAAATGGCAGTGTAACCTAAATTAATTTACTGGTTATAGTACAATTCTAACAAAACTACCAAAGGATTACTTTAAAGAACAAGAATAAAATAATTACAAAATTCATATGTTGTAACAAAAGCTCAAGGGAAATAATGAAAGGAGTAGGAATGAAGGAGGCCTAGCAATAGTACATATGAAACTATGTTACAAAACATTAATCATCAAAACAATTTGGTACTGGTTAAAAAATAGAGATGTCTATCAGTGCCAACAGATTCGCTATGCAACACACTAAAGCAAATGAACCCAATAGACTAGTGTTCAATAAACCCCCAAACCCCACCTATTGGGGTAAGAGCTCACTCTATGTAACAACAACTGTGTGGGGGGGGGGGGGAGGAAATCACACACTATTCCAGCAGAAATTAAGTTTTTTCCAACATTTAACATCATATACCAAGATAATCGCCAAATAGATATATGATACAGATATAAAAGGTCACATAAACAGATGAGGAACAAGGAAGAAATTACATTGGAGACCAATATATGGGGAAGGATTCATGACCAAGAAAGGGGGAGAGAGGGAGAGAGACAGAGAGAGAAGGAGAGAGAAGAGAAGATAAAATGAATGATTTTCATTACACATAATTAAAAACTTTTTGCAAAAAAATTCAATGCAGCTAAAATTAGATGGGAAACAGTTAAATGGGGAAAAAATCTTTGCAGCAAGTTTCTCAGATAATAGTCTTACTTCCAAAATATATAAGGAACCAATTCAAATTTACATGAATCACAGCCATTTGCTAATTGATAAATGGTAAAAGGAAAAAATCTAAGCAATCTATAATCATATTTTAGAAATCTTTAAATCACTAGTTGGAGAAATGCAAATTAAAGTAACTATGAAGTTCCACTTCACACCTCAGATTGGTAAAGTTGACAAAAAAAGAAAATGACAAATGTCAGAGGGACAACATACTAATACTATACTAATACACTGTTGGGAGAGCTATGAACTGGTATAGCTACTCTAGGAAGCAATTTGGAAAATTCTGCCCCCAGAATTAACAAACTCTGTGTATCCTTTGACTTGGCTCTACCATTGCTAGGCCTTTATCTGAAAACGGTCAAAATGAGAGGAAGAGGCCCTATAGAGACACACAAAATATTCATAGCAGGTCTTTTCGTAGTAACGAAGAACTGGAAACTAAACGAGTTTCCATCAATTGGGGAATGGCTGAACATTCTGTGATACATGAATGTAACAGAATTCGATGAAAGAAACAATTTTAAAGAAAGTCAGGAAGACTCATATGAACTGATGCAGCACTCAAGTAAGCACAACCAGGAGAACAACTTATGTCCTGACACCAAAATGAAAAACAAACAATTTCGAAAGACTTAAGAAATCTGATCAATAATTGACCATAATTCCAGAGAATTGATTATGAAGAAAAGAATGCTACCTATCTCCTTGACATAAGGTGATGAACAAATATGTGGAATAAGACACACATTTTTGGACATGGCTAATATGGACATTTGTTCAGTGTGACTAAGCTTCTTTGTTACAAAGATTTTATCTTTCTTCCTCATCCACAGGAGGAGGAGGGGGAAAAGTAAATGCTTGATAATTGAAAAAAATTTAATTTCAAAAATATGGAGTGAACATTGTAAAGGAATGCTTTTCTTACCTCCAATTTCTTTCTTGGAGAAGGGGGTTTCCAATAAGTGATAAGTCACACAGATTAAAACATGCATGAAACCACTTGGTGACACCTGTAAGATCTACATAAAATCATTGCAGAAATTAGTATCCTAGAAAAATGATAGTAATAAAGCCAAGAATTATTTTATTTTTACTCAAATTTTAAGTAACATTAATGTAAATATAAGCTATTCCTCTTTAAAACATGGATGTTCTAACAAAAAATCATTAGTGAAATAACTAATAAAGCCATGTAAAAATAATATAAATGGAATACAGCATAGTTAAGTTTTACAAATTGCTTTCCTCAGTGCAATGAGGTGGATAGTACAAGCATTATTACCCACATTTTATAGATGAGGATATTGAAATTCAAATCCCCAGATCACTCCAGTAAGTGCCAAAGCCAGGGTTCAAAACCCAGTCTGACGCCAAGTTTAACATACTTTCTATTAAGGCACATTACTTATGACTTGCACAACTATAGAGAGTTTTATTTAGATCCTTAAAAAGCAAGTGTTAATTTTAAGAAACTTTTAAGCAGTTTTTTAAAAGTTAGTAAAAGAAAATCTATATTGAATAACGAGGAGTTAGCAATAAAATTTTAAAATCAGTGTTATTTTTGGAATTATTTGAAGGAGTTTTTTTACCTTAATGAAGGCATTTAAAAGTTAATTTCATTCTTAATTGAATCAAGCTTTAACTTTAACTTGAGAAATCTATCTGTTCTCAAGTGAGCTGGTTAAAATGCCTTTTTAAGGTCTAATACAGAAATGCTTTTACAGATACATGTTTTTTATTCAAATACATGCTTCATTTTGAAGATGATTTATAAATCACAATTAGACCACACGGTACTATGTACAAAGCAAAGCTTTTGTACAACTTAGATTCATTTACCGAACAAATTGGAGTAACAAATTTAATGATTTCATACTTTCATTGAAGTGGAAACCAAAATTCTTCTCAAATGAAAGTGTTACCCCTGGTAACAGATTATGAAGAAAAAAGTCCAAAAAAGTTTTGATGATTGTAACTTTTGTCTTTTTCCATTAGAGAGGCATGGAAATAATGGTAGAATCATGCAGAATCTAGAAAATGGTCATTTCTTTGTTGTTTGTCTCAGTAAGACACAAAAATTCATAGAATCAAAATCACAGAGCTATAGCAATTCCACTCGAAGGAACCTAAGAGGTCATCTAGTCCAACCCAGACATAAATAATAACCTGTTTGACAATTCAATTGAATGAAACAAACATTTATTAAGTTCCTCCTACGTATAAACACTATGTTAGGCACTGGGGACACAAATAACAACTACAATGTTTACTATGTATTAGGCACTTTTACAATTATTATCTCATTTAATCCCCACAATAACCATGGGAGGGAGGTGCTATTATTATCCCTATTTTACAGGGGAGGAAACTGAGGCAAACAGCAGTCCAGGGACTTGCCCAGGGTCACAAAGATAGTAACTGTCCAAGGCCAGATTTGAACTTAGCACTTCTGACTTTAGGCCCAATTTACTTGACCAAATTGATGTCAAAAGGACATCAATAATGAATGTCCCTATTTTGTCCTCTTAAAAGGCCTTGCAATGAGACCTGGACAATAATGGCACAAAATAAATATCGCCTTTGGGGTGGTCTAGGCAGTTCAGTACATAGAGCTCTGGGCCTAAACAGCCCCTACTATTTTGATAGTTTCTATCTTCAAGAAGCTCACATTCCATCGTGGGATCCAATATTTATGCAGGTAAATAAGCACAAGTTAATGTTGATGACAGAGCACTAGCCTCTAAAAAGATGAAGAAAGGATTCCTATAGAAAGCAGCACCTGAGCTAAGTCTTGAAGGAAACTAAGGAAGCTATGATCCCAACATATAGTCTTTTCTGATGTCTAAATGAGGACTTCCAGTGACAAGGCCAGTAGCACCTCTGAAAGCATCCCACTCCATTTTTGTACAGTTCTAATAATTAAGAAGTTTTTCCTCACACTGAGATAAATGAAACTGGCTTCTGCAGATCCCACCTACTTCTCCTGTTTCTTTCATTCTAAAGCCAAACAAAACAAATCAAACTTCACTTCCATGGCCACTATGTCCTCTCTAAGTTTTACTCGTTCTAAGTAAGCAGACATTCTTCCTTCAAGCAATCTTCATATGACATGGTCTCCAATTTTCAACATCCTGGTTGTGCTCCACTGGACATGCTTTCAGGTTGACAATACCCTTCCTAAAACATGGCACCCAGTTCAGTTATGAACACAATAACACAGATCTCATCTGAGCATAGCAGAATACAGTGGAACCATCAGCCCCACTGTTCAGGACAATACAACTTTATTAATGCAACTTAAAATTGTATTAGCTTTTCTGGCTTTCATGCCATGCCATTGACTCAAACTGATGCACTGTAAATACCCCAGATTTTGATCACATGGGCTGCTGTTTAATGGTTCCTTCCTCATGTTATCCTTGTGTCACTGAACCCAACGATGAATCTTAAAAACATTCCAGGTTGTATATTTTCCTCATCTATTCTTCCAAACTCACCTGAAAGGCAGTTGTTGCTGACATCCAATTTTTCCAAAGAAACAAATTGAAAGAGGGGCACGATTTCAGTCAAACTGAAAGCAAAAGTTTAGAATGAATGTGAAAAATTCTAAACATTAACAGTGACACACTCTATCAACACTGGACAGATCCTGAGGTCTCTTCCACCTCCAGGACTATGAACCTATAAATGATCTAATTAGCAGTGAATAATAATAATAATTCATAGTCAATGTACATAACAATACTAATATTTAGAAATAGTGGGTGAGGAGTTTGGGTTTTTTTTGGGTCTGTTAGCAGTTTTTGTTTTTGTCTGTTACAAGTTTAGAGAAACTCGCTCTGCCAAGGCAATTCAATAATTGTTCTGTAACTTACCAGAGAGAGATTGATATTCAAGGTACTTGAAAGAGTAAAAGATACCAGAGAATTGGAGGGGAAAACATCTTGGATTCCATTGCTACATTAAAAAAGTGAGTCAAGAGAATTTACTTGACCAAACTGACGTCAACAGGACATCAATAACAAATGTCCCTATTTTCTCCTCTGAAAAGGCCTTGCAATGGGACCTAAACAATAACTGCATAAAATAAGAACATGGTAGATAGCTGAGATTGGTGCTGATAGAGGTGATGCCAAAATCAACGAGATCAAGAATCTGCTGAAATATCAAAGCATTCTTATATTGAAGATAGAAATTTTCATTACCTTACAACTATTTCTTAAATATTTTTTAAAAAATTGAATGTAAGACTAGAAAATGCTTTTTCAAAGGGAAAATTCCTACCAGCTAATCACATAGTTAAACATTATATAGTGAATAGAGTTGTCTAGAAAGTTAGAAAGACCCAGGTTCAAGTCTTGCCTCTGACCCATACTGGCTGTGTGACTTTGGGCAAGTCACTGAACCTCTCAGTTCTCTGGGTAATTCTCTAAGATTATAAACTGCAGAGAAGAGATCTGCATTGATAAAGGTTTTACTCCCAGGGCAGTTCTCTGTTCTAATGAAATCACAAGTCCAGTTCCTATCCCTATCCCTAATTGTATGGCTACCCAAATACTCACACAATCAATGATGGCCCATTTATTTACTACAAATCAATGAACTTTTTTTTTAAATTGACTACTATGTGCAAGGCACAGCATTAAGTACTGAGGATACAAAGAACAAAAAGAAACATTCCTTTCATAACTTCTTTTGATGCGAATTACCAGTAGACAATTATATTAGTTAGCATGGGTGTTTTAAATTAATCAAATGAGTGAAATTTAAAACAATTCTACATAGGAAAAATCAACTTCAAACTTATTTAGACATCTAATTTCTAAGACATATTATATACATATATGTATACATATAATATGTCTACACTTTAATATGTAATACATTGTTTCAGCTATCTAAGAATCAAAATTAAGATAGATAAGCTTAGCTAGACCTTGTGAGTAAGAAAGGGGATAATGCTTTTGCCAATATCCTTTTTCCTCACTTGTTCACAAAGGTCTTATGATTAAATCCCCTGTGTATTTCTGAAAGTTCCATCTTTAGCTTTTCCTGAAACAGGACCTTCTGTTGAGAATCAAATCACATCAGTCAGGAGTTTACTTCACCTTTTAAGGAGCTTATTTTTAACAGTATTTCCCCCCACACACCTATTTCTTGTCACTTGATCAACTTTCTCTCATTTCTTCCTTTTCCTCTTTTTCCAACTTGTATTATTTTAAGGTCAGGAGCCCACAGAGCACCATGATCAACAGGGGCCTACACATGGTCTGGCACAATGCTAACCCTTGTATTGACCTTGACTGTGGTAGGATACTCTCCTGTTCTGCATTACCAAAGCGACAGAAGATATTAGGGATAAAAACAGACTAAACAGTGAGACAGGCTGAAGATCGCTCCAAATGTGGGCTCCTCCAAGAGCAGGATTACTATTCATACATGAATAGGATACAGGTTACAAGTGCTTAAAAGTTTGCCTCTGAAAAAATAACACAAGGGAGGCACTTAGGGGAAACAGAGCAAGGTTTAAGTCATGGCCTCTGCAATTCTCCTTTAATTGTGTATATATCGATTAATTGGGAGCATACTTGAAGGGTCTCCATCTTTCTTCATGACTACCATGTTCTACAGGCACAGAACAACTTCTCAAATCTAAGCTGTTGTACAATTTAATGCATTTAGGGTAAAGTTAATTGACACCACTAAATTCAAGTATGGAGATGTCATACTCTAGGTAATTAGTTGCAGTTCAAGGATCCACATATTCCCAAGTTTATGACACAAATCAAATATGTTTTTGATGGTGAAAATTTTCTTCTTTTGTCTCTTCAGTATATTTTGAATTTCTAACTCTTTCTGTTACTTTCAAAAGACTTCAAAATGCAAATATTAGTCATTATGACATTAAAACAACTTCCACATTCAGTTTCCCCCTTTTTCTCAAAGATTCATGTTTTTCAAACAATAGATATAAGATAATATACTGGGGATATTAAAAGAAAAATTTTAAATCTGAAACCATTGGAAATGCCTGTTGCAAGAATTGTACAACATGAAAGAAACTGGAATGAGCAATTTATTTTTAGTAAACAGTCTATTTTGTTTAAACAAACAACTAACCTTTTAAATCTAGAGACTGGTGGGTTTAGATTTTTTTTACTGGCAATTCATTGGCATTTATAACTGTTCACTGGCAAACTAGAAATCTAACAGAGGGCTCTTTCAATTCTGTAACTTTTACTTTTACTGACATTCTGTGTTACTTTTTTTTAAAGAAAATTCAAACCAGAAAGACAAAGGACATTAGTGAAAACCTAATACCACTTGACCTTGTCACACTAGCCCTGGGCATAAAAAGATATAAATTTCAAAGAAGACAAAAAGGCAAAAGATATGTACAGAAAGAAGTCAGTGGGTAAAAACTTCCCTTTCTGCTCTTACTTAGAATTTCACTACAAGTATAAAGGCTTATAAAACCAAAGAGTCTTCCAATTAGAAAACAGATGAATCAAACTGGAAACAGTCAAGTATTCTAACGAAAACTCAAAACAGTAGTAAAGATGAAACAAATCTTTCAAACAATGTGTACTAAATGTTTTAATTTATATTCATTTTATTAAAAATCAGAATAAATATTTCTTCCCTTAATGAAAATATTAATTCAAAAGTCACTACAAAAGGAAAAAAAATGCATCACTGATCTAAAAATTATAAGCAATCCAATTTCATTTTTTCCAAAAAATAAACATTAAAACTGCCCAAAAGCATAACCTAAAGTGTCAGCATCCTACATGACCTTTGATAAACATTTCTTTGTGACAATTTCCATTTAGATAAAAAATATTAGATGCTTTCATTTTGTCTCTAGTCCATCCACTAAACCCAAAAGCTACTATAGAAGGATAGCTAAAGATTTAAATGTCCTAAAATTGTTTTGACAATTTTAGAGCAATGATCTTTGTAAAAATGAGCCATTAGACAAACTTCAATATTGCAAGTATTTATGATTTCTTCAAGTCGGTATCCTTTCCATTACTATAAGTATCAGTTCTTATACAGATTCTTAACCCCATATATACTTTAGAATTTCATTATCTGAAATGGAAAAAAAAATGCACTACCTGGTCTAGTGACCAGCATTCTGGTGACAGGCCTTAACCTTGATCAGGACAAAGTTTTAAATGACAGACATACACATCTGTCATCTAGCCTATAGTGAAAGCCTAATATTTGTAAAATATTCAGAGATTATATTTCATTGGCATGGCCTTTGAAAATCCAGTAAGTTACATGCAGGACAGCTTTGGAACTAATGTGTTTAATTTGTGATATACTTTAAAAAGAAAAGTAAGCTATATGTAATAGATGTTCATGGTTTCATATATATTATATTCATATTTGAGATATTAATATTCTATTCTTTGCTATATGCAATAGAAACTCAAGGTTTCATATATACTATTTTCATATTTGATGTAATATTAATATTCTACATGTCTTTGTTAATGGAAATGTTCATGTTTCTTAATGTTTGTCAAGTTTAGAACATAAGAAACAACAAAAATGAAAATCCTAAAAAAAAAAATGGAAAATAAATACCCAGTGGGTCACTTCCATACCATGGTAAGGCATTGGATTAGGACTCTAGTAGAGTGTTAATAAGTCACAGAAATATCAAGACTTTCAAGAAAATTAATAATACTTATTTTATGACTTTAATTCAAGTTCATAATAGAGAATTCTTTGAAATAACTAATTCTTAAGTCTAATTAAACTAATTCTTAAGATTAACTTTATGTTCAAAGTTTTCTTCATGACAATTTATATATGATTTAATATTTCATAGTATCACTTAATAATACTATATGCTATTCCTTAATTGCTATTTTGAAAAATTTATGAAAATAAGTGGTATTATAAAAGCTCAAAAATGTAACTGTAAATTTCAGACTGACAGATGTCTCATCATAAAGACAGAGAAGAAAACATTTGAATACTTAAAAGGAAATACTCTATTAAAGCTCTTAAAATGGGGCAATTCCACGGATTACAGATTCTTAATTAAAATAAACAAATCAAATATTATTCCCTAAGGTATCCTCCCCAAAATAAACAACCAAAACAAAACAAAATCCTAAAGAACCTTCTAAGTCTACTCATGATTACTTTTTCAAAAACTTTTCAATCCAATTACGTTAGCCATCAGAATTAAGGTAATAACAAATGCAAAGGCATAACAAAATGTGTTTTAAGTATTTATAACTAAGAGGTACTGGACTTTTTCTGGTCCCACTGTACAGATATTCATTGTTTCCTCCCTTCAACAACAACATGTCTCATAAAGCTTAGAGCTCAGAAAGAAAATTTATCCCTGAGAGATGGTGTGGTTTTCCCTCAGTGGATTCATGAGAGTCTCACTTTGAATCTTCAGGTTGGAGAACAAAGGGAAAAGATTAATATACTTTTTGATATCCCTTCAATCTCTGTTGTTCTGTTTTGTGTCTTTGTTATCTTATATCAAAAACTTTTTGAGCCAATGTAACTTTATTTGTATAGCAATACTATATGATG